CCGATGGGGGGGCAGTCAGACGCCAACGGGGGGCAACAGACCTGATATGTGTAGGGTGACCAACCGTGATACAGGTAGGGTCAGAGCCATACCCTGGTGTGCGTAGTAGGTGAGAACTAGGCTCTGACTCTTGGGGGGCAAGGGTGACAGAAACCGAGGTGGGGGAGGGGTGAGAGCCAGACCCCAACTTGGGGGGAGGGTCAAATCCCAACTGAGGGGGTAGGGGACAAGGGCCAGACCCTGACACATCCCACAGTACCTGGCATGTGTACCCCATTTCACAGGTGAGAGACCAGGTGTCCGACAGCTCATGCAGCCGGGTTGGTGAGCCCAGTGGGAACCCAGAGTTCCACCAGAGCCTCTCAGCACAGCCCTCCACCCCCAGGGAGGGGCGCTGACGGGCCCCGTCGGTCCCAGGCCCCTAACCTGCACCCCTGCTCAGCAGCTGCTGGCTGACAGCTGTGGGCTTGGAGCAGGCCGGGAGGTGGCCCGCACCCCAGGGGTGGCCGCCGTGGGACAGACGGACACGGATGATAAGGAGCTGCTTTTCTGGGGGACAGCCAGGGACAGGACAGCCAGCGGGTGGGGGAGGTGGAGGCGCGAAACAGAGGGCCGCGAACGGGAGGCGTTTGTTGTTAACGGTCTTTTAACTGCAGCCGCAGAGGGGAAGAGAGGCTGTGGGCTCCCTTCGGGGCTGGCAGTGGTGCGGCTGCGACGATTCCCTTAATGTGGTTTTTGATATAGAGCCCAAATTAGCTCTAATAAAAAGGGATAATAAAGGCAACTCTTAGCCCAAACGAAAGCCCTCCTAGCTGTCAGACTGGGGCCATTATCAAGAGAAAACTGCGTTCTCATTTCAATTAACCTTGTTTGCACCCACCACGTCCGCACAAATAACAATAACATTAACTCAGGGCGCTGGTGCAGTGGCCGCTCACTCGAGGCTCGAGCCGGCGGCTAATGAACCCGAAACTCGACGTGAGCCTCCAAACTGCTCATGACAGAGTTTAGAGGCTCTATTAGGGAGAAAGATGCTGATTCTCCGTAAGGCCCTCATGGGGAAAGCTGACGAGCAGAAGCGTCCCCTCTGCCGCCCCGCCCCGCACAGCAGCCCCAGCCAGCCCCGCCCCGCCCCGCCCCGCCCCGCACAGCAGCCCCAGCCAGCACCGCCCTCAGCTGACAGGCGCTCATGGGGCATCTGAGCCGCAGGCCGCCCCACCTGCCCGGCCCACAGTGCCCAGGCCTTCGCCTCCCTCACCAAGGAGCCCGCCCGCAGCTTCAGGAAGGGACAGGTGCGGCCTCAGCCTGGGGGCCCCAGGGCCTCTGACTGGGGATGGGACAGGGGCGAGGGGAGCAGGGCCCAGGGGCTCCACACTGACCTTGTCCTTGGAGACGTGGTGGGAGAATGGGCAGGTCCCATCTGTCTTCTTGCAGGTGCCCCGCAGGAACCTATGGGCAGGAGGGTGAGCAGGGGCGGGGGCGGGGCGGGGGGGGGCGGGGGGGCCGGGGGGGGGGCGGGCACCTGGTGCACACGGCCACCTTCTC